CGTGCATTCTAAACGTAATATACGGAGAACACCGGGGACAATCAACCGGCGGTGGATAACCACGCGACCGGTATCTAGCTATTAGCTCTCTCAACGAAGTCCTGTCACAGTCGCTTCGTCGCCAGCTAAATAAACTTCTCCCTAAACACGCCATGATTCCTGCCTCCGTCCGATGCCACTGCCTTCGCTAGTTGGCGCAATAATTTTCCCGAAGCGGTGATTTTGCGAGATCGCGAGATCGTGAGAATGCATTTCTGGATGATCGAGGGAACGTCTAATGAACAACGTTCCTTGACACTTTCACGGCGAGTATGTATACATAGAGTGTTTCGTAACTTGTGGGACCCACTTCGGAAAGCTGATTGTACGCCTAAAAATAATGAGAAAAAGTCATATAAATATATGTCCTATCTGTCCCTTTCGTTTATGAGATATAATGAATTTTCTGTTTCAATTACTTTTACAAAAGATGCCTCTAAATGGCCACCTTGCATTTGAAGACAAGCCTGCATGCGTCTTGTCGTTGATCTGGTTACTCTCTCTATCATTCCTGGTGTTTCTCGAATTTGTTGGAAGCCTTGCCTCTATTCTATTTCGTAGCATTTCAGCATTTTCAATCGATGTTGCGTATACAATAGATTTTTAAATGTCCCCGCAAATGAAAATCTAATGGATTCAAATCCGGAGAACGAGCAGGCCATGCAACAGGACCTCCACGACCAATCCATTTATTTACAAAGTGTCGATTTAAAAATTGCCTGGCCACTCGGCTAAAATGCGGCGGAGCTCCATCATGCATAAACCGCGTACGAAGTCTAATATCGACTGGAACTTTCTCTAATATTTCGTGTAAACGCGTGCTCAAAAAATTAACGTACTTTGTGCCTGTTAGTTTCTCATCAAGAAAAAAGGTCCAATTAAAAATTTATCAATTATTCCTGCCCATACGTTTAAACTAAACTTGATGTATTGAATGCACAGTAACATGTGGGTTTTCTTCATCCCAATTATGATTATTATGAAAATTGAATATACCATCCCTGGTAAAACTAGCTTACAAGAGTTTGCTCTGTTTATAAAATTCATATCTCACAAACGAAGGCAGATAGGACATATATTTATGACTTTTTTAAAATTATTTTTAGGCGTACAATCAGCTCTCGAAGTGGGAGCCCACAAGTTACGAAACATCCTGTGTATATACATATATATAAATAGATATTTTAGAATGTATGGAATAAATATTTTCATTTGTTTATTTATACTGATATTTTTGGACAACTCAAGTATATATATATATATATATTTGGAAAATCATATATATGTATATACATATATCAAGAATATATATACTTGATTTTATATTATATATTTTATATTGATTTTATATATATACTTGATTTTAGTTGCCCAAGAATATCAATACGAATAAATGAGAACATCCATTAACATTAACACAACTGTATCAAAATATTCTGCATGTAAATTATTACGATTTAAATGATAATTAGAATAAATAGATTCATGGAATTACGTTTCTGGCCAAATATACATAGAAATGTACATAGAAATTAATATTAATTTTGACAAAAAGACCCGTCTCGACAGAAGTCTGAAATCACTCATACTGACGTGTTCGATTGTTACAGTGTATTATAATAAAATTACAATAGTTGAATTAAAATCGTAACAAAATAATAAAATTGTACAATTATCTGTAAAACTTCTGAAGACTGACGAGTTGTAATAAATAATATTTCTCACGAGCAACTGTCATTTCAAACATCTCGCCGGGAAATTATGTCAACAGTGTTAACACTGTCTCTTCGCTTTCAAATCGCGATAAACGTTCTACAGGCGTACGCAGAAATGACATTGCTGTCTTTTTGACTTTTCAGGAGAGAGAAGCTTACTTCGAACATTACCGTAAATCAATGGGGTCGAAAGATCAATTCGTAGCAACAGCAGATGAATCGACTATTTTCTGGAAACCTTATATACACATATATCCACTCCGGCATTCTTGCATCCCCGCTCGTAATCGCACGGAGTACAAAAGTCAAAGGCCACACCCATCGCGTCTATATTCTCACGGATCTGCGCCAAGCGGATTATCAGTAACCGTAGTATTCGGTCACAGCGTTAACTTTTCCTTCGAATAAAGTACCGAATAAACGATATTTTACATACGGTTTACCGATTACCATGTTTTCCACGCTCGTACACAAAATGTATGCAGTGTAATGCGCACTTGGCAAGATCAGTGAAATACGCGCCATTCCAACGCAACGCGAGCTACTCGCAAATCTACTTCTCTGGTGTTTGAACTGAGTAGAAGGACTCAATCGTGGAGGAGAACGCGAATTTTTATCACCGAGTCGCATTCCAGGACAATGGGCTCATTAGCTGGTGCGAAACGAGCCGTGCGTTGAACAAGCAGTCGCTGACTGACACCGCTTTCTACCTCGTTTTCGATAAATTCTTCCGTTCGTTTAGACGTTCGTAGTAGCTAATCATACCGCTTCGGTACGCGTAGACGTTCACTCCGTCATCAGAATTTATCCGCCGTTTCCCGATAAATCTACAATTTTAGCATTGAAATATATACAGGGTGTCCATAAAGTCTCTTTACAATTTCAAAAATTTATTACAAAGGCAACCGACGAGATATCTTCATCAGATTTGTTTCATGTACTCGGTGGTTATCGAGGTTTTTATCGCATTGCATTTCAGGTACCCTTGATGAATAAGACACTGTTAAATGAATCCCTTACAAAATGGTTACACCTCGAGAGAAGGTACAGTGTGTATCACGGTTTGTTGAAACCAAATCGGATCTACAGACTCAGCGAAACTTCAGAACTAAGTGTGAAAGAGATCCACCGTCACGTCCATCAATTCGTGCATGGCACAAGAAATTTATGGGGACAGGGACAGTGTTCGATAAAGGGAGGAGTGGACGACCAAGAACATCAGAGGGAAACATCGATCGTGTAATAAATCGAGTATAGAGGTGTATTAAATGAGGCAAGAAAAAAACTTAAATATATACGTCTCATTTTGCAGTAATTTTTACTTATCTGTCTCTTCAATTGCTTTTGTAATAAATTTTTGAAATTGTAAAGAGACTTTATGGATACCCTGTACATCTATTTACATTGATAGTATTTGCCAGTTAACGTGTTTAACCCTCCGACTACTGAACCTCAGGGTCCTGTGCCGGGGTCATTTTGACTCACACGAATATCCCACTAATATATATTTAGGATTTTCTGGACGGCTCACCGATATTGTACAGAGTGACGGTCACTCGAGACAGAGGTCCTCACCGATATTTTACCAACACAGTAGACAGACACCCGACTCATATAGGAACATGTAGGAGTATATAAGGAACAAATGATAGTCACATGAATAATAAAGTTATATATTTACTATACATTTATGTCATTCACTGTCAGGAACGTCTTGTGCAGATTGAGCAAAAGAAGACAAAGAAAGATTCCTCGTTGACAATGAAGACATTGCGTCAATAAATAGAAACAACGGAAAAAGTAATAAAAAGAACAAAAATAACAATAAAAACAGTAAATTAATAATAAAAATATAGTAAAATATTAAAATAGTGCTAAAAATTAAAATCTAAATAGTAAAAACATAATACATAAAATAATAAAAATAGTAAAGAATAATAATAATAATAACAATAATAGTAAGTAATAATATAATTAATAATAAAAATATAGTAAAATATTAAAATAGTGCTAAAAACTAAAATCTAAATAGTAAATACAAAAATAATATAAAATACTAAATACTAAATATAAAAATAGTATAAAATACTAAGCACTAGTAAAAAAAAAAATACAAACTATTAAATACTAAATACTAAAATACCAAAACAGTAATAAAATATAAAATAAACTTTGAAATAAAAAATTGTTCCGATTTGCTGCACACGTCTTTCTTTTTTCAGAACGTTACCAGAAACTGATTTCTTTCGTCTTTAGTCGCCGTCATTTCGGCAATTTGGCGAACACATGGCACACAGCCGCATGATGCGTTAGTGCGATCACTAAAACACAAGCAGCTCCCAGCACAGGTCAAAACTGTGACCCCGGCACAGTAGGCGGAGGGTTAATTCTTAAGAGAAAGCAATCGACGGCGTGAACGTTGAGAAACAAAATCGAGGCTCTTTCGACCAAAGTTTTTCTTCCCACGTTGGCGTAACGGGCCGCTGGAAATTGCAGTCCTGTCCGATGCACCGACATCGGCAACTGCCCCTTTTAAAGCGGCGCGCGGACGCGCGTACTCGCTCGCGAGCGCGCGCCGCCTAGCCTACTGTTACGCCGTGGAAAAATCGTCGCAATTGCGCCAATAAATCTTCGCCGGTAATGCCAGGGCCCCGGGAGAAACAGTTATCAGATGCTCGGGACGCGATGCGGCTTTAACAATTTCCCCGGCTATTATGCTCGCCACTCATTAACGATTCGCTCGACTCTCCATCATCTAACGGAGCTTCTCGTTCTTCCCGTCCATCTATAACCGCGAATCTCAGCTCGGTATTATGGTAACAATATATCGACTCGTAACGTTTCATACGCGTTTACGCGTATGAAAAGATACCATTTATTTACTATGAGCGAGTGATACACAGCGTCGAAAGTGACCTCTCCTCTGGTTTATTAGCTCGGTCAATCTTCTGAATGTCGTTCTGTTCGATCAAACCAGAAACCTCACTTCTTTCTCCCCGTGTTGCGAAATTAATTTCTACGTAATGTTCCAAACATTATTCGAACGTTCTACGCGGTTGAAAAATTTTAAAGTGTAGATCTCAGAGTATGGAATCTAGTGTACGTTCACTAATTCGCAAAATACAATTGTCTTTAGAACGGAAGAGTCCATTTTTGACGAATTTTTATACGTATCTGTCAAAATGATCTATCTCTGTGGACAGTTGTCACGTTGTAATATAAAACTGTCAAACATCGTGTCGTTAACTACTGTTCGTTAAGTATCATCGTTTTTTCGTGTCGTTCGATCGCGATCTTCTTAATCGTCTCCCAGAGCATAGGGTATGGGTGTATGGTCCTGGCGAAGTCGTCGCGATCCAACCGGTACAGCTCGCACACCTCGACCGCGACGACACTGGCCACCCTCAACTCGTTGGGCATGACGAGAGCCACCTCGCCGAAGTGTGCCCCGTCCTCCAGATGGCACACTTCCTTGCCCGAGTTCGTGTAAATAGCCACGGTGCCGGTGGCGATGAAGTACATACAGTCACCGGTTGTATTCGCTCGCATGATCACGTCGTTGGTCAAGAAAATCTCGGCTTTCAACAGCGCGACGATACGGCCCAGCAACGTCAACGGCAAGTTGTTGAAGAACGTCACGTTCTCGACTAGTTTGCGACACGAGTGCATTCTGATCTCGTGACGCATCTGGGTGGACAGTGTATTGATGATCTGCGACTCGCGAAAGAACTTGTGCTGGTAACGAAACTCGTAGTACCGGACGATCCTTTTTTGAGTGGGATGCGGCAGTTGTTTGTGCCTCATGTACTGTTTCAACTGGGCCACGGTGCTTTGGTACCTCAGGTGGGAGCTGTTAGCACCTTTGAAGAACTGCATTACCCGGGTGATGACGAACCAAGGTGCCACGATGCCGAACAATTGGAAAACGATGATCATGTAAATGTCCGCTACGTCCTGTATGTTCGTGTACCGCAGACCAGCCCTCATGAACGTGACCACGGCGCGTAGGCTACTGGCCAGGTATTGCTGCGATTTGTCAGCGTCCCACAAATCATCCATCTCGATCCACGAAATGTTGCTGGGCCGTTCTGGTTGGCGTATGGAAGTCGTTATTATGGGTATCAACCAGTGGAAACAAGACTGCCAATGTAGAAACAGTATTATCCACGCGACTATCAGACAGAACTCTTGAAGTGCTACAGAAATGTCGTAGGCAAAGGCCAGCTTGTCGATGTAGATGCTCAGGGAAAATATGCGGAATATACACATCAGAGATGTCGCCCTGCGTGCCATCGTGTATTCCACCCATTTGGTCAGATAGAGAAGATCCGTTGGAAAGGAACCAAGCATGTCAGGAAAGAAGGTGCCGGATTTCACGTAGCGAGTGATTATCTTCTTCTGTTCTAGTATCGTCCCGTGCGTTTCATGATCGAAATATCTGAAGATCAAACGAACATTTTTAGCGAATTTTCTTAGTATCTATAGTTGGAAATTTGTTAAAATATCTCTAGGTTCCGAATTGAACATGGAGTAGCTACCTCCATATGCTTGTTTTCTTTTCGTGAAACAGAGACATCAACGAGTAAACGTGACGATAGAATGATTCTAACGTGAAAAACGAGTTTGATCGTAAGTCGTTCAAGTTAGAATCGTCAACGTTGATATCAAGGACGTCAATCAATGTTCATTTAGATTCTTGAACAAATATCTCCATCAATTATGACATCGTAACGAGATTCGAAACACACACACACACACACACACACATACGCGATACTTGCCCCGTTCTGAAATTAACCACTATATCCATGCAGCAGATGAACAGCAAGAAATTCTTGCTGATGTGCCACATCGGTAACTTATGTCCCATTTCGAAGCTGCTCTGATAAGGGACGACTATGAGTAGGGTAGTTATCGCGAAAATCATCAGTAAGTTCCAGTAGTGCCTGTAATAACGATCCAGGGCATAATGCGCGCGCCAAGTAGACCGGATGCGCGGACAGTTATCGCAAACTTTCACGAGACGATTTATCATTAGGTTAACCGTACATTTTACTATACATAGTCGCGTAGACTTTTTACCGGGTGTTGCCAACAGTAGTTGACATGATAATCGATGCACGTGAGTGTCAGAAATGATAGAAACGTCAGAGTGTGTTAATGTTGTAGCTTCACTTTACCGAAAATAATTTTATAGAATTTTATAGAATATCCTATTCGGCAAGAAATTTATACCATTTTCACACTGAAACTGAATTTTTCTCGTTATTCGAGTCACTGAAAAGACCAAAGTGATCAATTTCGTTCTTCAAGAATTTTATAATTTCGGTACACTTGACTTTTGTGTGCTATGTCATTTGCTCTTATTAATATTTAAGCTTCTCAAATGGATAAGTATACCTGAACATGCTAAATGGGTGAATGATAGAAGCGTAACTTTGCCAATGACGACGCTTCTCCTGACTTATGGAAACCTTGCTTCGAAGATATTTGTGAGCGGCCGGATTTTTCTGAGATGCTAACAACGACAAACGCAATCTGTCGTATATTTTCCAAATTGGCCTTCTGTCAGCAAGGAATAGTATGTCATCGTCGTCATCGGGTATGTCGCAAACGTGATCCGCATGGAGCATCATGTTGAATTACGATCAAGGATATTCTAACAAAAGGTTAAGATTCGTAAGTAAATGAATATATGCCTAGTAATGAACTATAATGAAATTATGAACAAGATAAAAGCCTGTGTTGTCTTTTAGTTAATTCAAGCAAATGCATGTACAATTTGTGCGTAGACAGATATTCGTATAATTTGTTTCGTATTTGAAATCGATTTCTAGTAATATCTGATAGTTTACGTTTGTATATAGAAATAGGCGGTGAGGTTTTTTTAGAATTTAATAATACTAGTATTGTCAGTTTTCTGTCAAAATTAAATATTAGAAGATTTAAACGATACTGATGTGACATCTACTTTCGGGAATAGAAATACGGTACATTGGGCTTACTGGACGATGATAAAACAGAATACCATCATTGTATAGATGAAATATACGAGCAGATCTTGCATTTTATCATTGACTAGAATCATTAACTAACTAGAATAAATTGAACATCCAATGTTTTTTTGTATCTCAGGTTTTAGAGGTCACCTGATTCCCATACCATTTTTGTGTTGCATTCTACCATATCGATCTACGCAGGTTTTCCACCGCAGTGCCACTAGGAATTAAAATAAAAAAATATGATTAATTTTGTTACAATTATTCATTGAATTGACCGTGAGTGCTTTCTTATCTGAATAACTATTCTTAAGAAAAAAAAAATACATACGATTCACAATTAGATGCGAAGAATGTTACCATCAATGCTGCACTTGACCAAGGAAAGTTGCCGCGAAGATTTTCAGTAAGATGCCACTGAAAATCCATGGTAGAAATGAGCGCTACTAAAAATTTCTTAGAAAGCATAAAACTTTATAATTTTATTTCTAAATATACAATTATATATGAAAATTTAAATTTTAATAATGATAAAAATTGGAATTTAGAATAATTTAAAATACTTTTATAATTATAATTTTACATTCATTTTCAACACTTTTTAACACTTTTTAAATATTAGATATTGTTTAAACAATTAGAATACTCAGAAATATTATTTAAAAATTCACTTATAAAGTTTGTTCGATGTGTACTTGATGAAGATTCAATTCATAATGAGGTCTCGATGTCGGTCAAGATCAACCTATTCTTTCAGTAGTTGGTGATGCAGAACAGTTGAAAATCTTTGTCAATTGTTCGAACAATGATTTTTCTATTGTAACATAATTTATTAATTTTTTTATTTTTCTTATAAATTTATGCTCTGGCGATTTATTACACTAATTAATCTTATGATATATATAATCTTATTGATTAGTAACTTCTGCGTTACTAGTTTTCGATTATAAATTACTACTAAATCTAATTATGCGTAAAATTTCAAAGTCTACTTATAACTTTGAACATGCAACATTTCAAATTTGCGCGCGGTTTTCGGTGAATAAGAAACCATTTCTCGTCAGCCAATAGGAAAGTAGCGAGGCGACCGTTGGCGCGAGATGGTGTTAATCGTGCGTCGGGTATCGTGCCGTTCAGATAAATTATTTTATTTCGCGTGTGATTTCAACCTCGTGATATTTCTGTCACTGTCATCTTTTGTAGATTACTATAATAGGTTTGTTTAATCAATATATTCTTATTTAATACCTAGTTCGTTATTGTTATGATGAAATTAAATATTTTCTCGAACTTTTGTCGTTTGTTGGTTATCTATTATTTCATAATCAGAGTTACCAACACCTTGTATTATAAGCTTTTGAGACAGAATTTGAACATGCTTATAATTAGATATTGTTAGATGTTTAATACAGATTAATATTTTATACAGGTTATTGACTGGTTGCGGAAATTTTGGGGAGGAGTATTGAATTCTACTTTTCTCTCCGTGAGTAATAATATATTTCTTAGTTTGTTTCATTTATTAATTTGAAATTGTGCTTTTGAATATTAATACAGAGTACAAAAATCTATTAGCTGACAAATCTATTCTATTCTTCATGCGTGATTTGAATTAAATATGTGATTCCTCACTTGGCACTTCAGATTGTAAGGCATAAAAAATGTTTGCACATTAGATCTCTCTTCTCCTCTCCTTCGTCGATAACTACAGTATCTCGTCAGTTTTCCTAACTTTATTGATTTCTCAGGTAGTGATGATACCAGTTTTATTTTCTATCTCGGTTATGGTTCCACTTTATAATATACACTGAGTCGGTAATGTCGAAAATGACTCCTAAAATATATAAACGCGGTTTAGATTCTAAGATGTGAAATAAAGATAGCGTTGAATGATATATAGCGTGTATTCTATGTATTTTTTACAATTTGATGTTCCTTATACAGAAATCACATATAAATAATTTGAAACATAATTCAATAAAAGTTACCCTTCACTGTTTATAAAGGTATTTGTAAGCACATTAATTACATTTTCATTATTATTTGTTACATATATATTTATTACATTTTTATAATTATTTGTTATATATGTATTTATAACATTTTCATTATTATTTATTATATATATATTTGTTATATTTAAATATATTTTAAATAAAGGAACATAAAGACTTCTTAATAAACTGTGTGATATAAAAACGTCGGTAAAGAATCCAAAGAGATATGAAATATTGACATTATAATTTTACATTATTATACGAACAACAATTATAAACATCATTTCCAAATGATAAGAATTATACATATATTAACGATCCACCGATTAATTTTAATAATCGCAGTGTACATCAGTCGATATTGCACATAGTGGGCAACTTTGCATCTGCCCATAAAGTAGTTTCATCGTTTGATTTGTAGTTTCCGCTCCTTCGGAGGCAGCACTTCCTCTCCTTTGTCGTTATTCAACTAAACCAACGAACCCGCCAGAATTGATGGCTTTCTCGTTGCAATCTAATCATTTCTAACTTTCAAAGTTATCGTAAATATCCAATTTAGTGTAGAATGAGTTACAACGAAAATTACAATATTTGTCGCGAGTTCCTTTGATTGAAACAAGCATCCAAATACTTTACCTTCATATAAATCGATCTTTCCAAAAATTTCTTCGTACGTGTGTACTGGAAACTACATCTCGAGGTACAGTCTCGTGTGCGAATGAGGTTCGTGTAGATAATGATATGCAAATATATACCGAAATAAATATATATACATACGTACAGGCACAATGTATGTCCCTTCGTCTCTCTTGTCTGTCACGTCGTCTTGCCATTAGGCACGTTTGATTTCCTTCGACCATTTACGTTACATCTTTCTTCCCTCTTATTCTTCGTTGCTATTCTCGTTTGAAGGCATCGATCTTTCTGAATATTTCTTACTTCTCGCATATTTCGTTCCAATGAAACGAATAGGTCTTTGCTTTCGAAAATCGCGTTCCCAAGATGGATGACCTTGCTCCACGGTACATTTAAGCGACGTTATATACAAGTTGGCTTTACGAGGGCTCAGAGCTTGGTTGCGTGCACCGCATAAGATTCTTCCTCAATGTACATTGCGCGACTTCTCGGCGAATTCCCCAACGTAACGACGAGGTTTTATGAACGATTTTATTTGTTCACCGTATACGAACATATTCTCACAGACGTATTTATTGTATTTCTACCGATATCGCGTGCCAGCCATAAAACATGCACTCGTTAGGGATTCAACGAGTTCGCAGTCGCGCCGACGACTTCTCCCTTTTTCTCTCTTTCTCTCGTTTCCCATATCTTTCTCCCTTGGCCCCTCATTTTCTCTTTTCTTCCTCTCCTCCCCCTCTTCTTTTTTTTTTACAAATACGTCGACATACGTTTAATTAGTGCTCGTTTAATTAACGCTCGCATATGAACCGAGACAGTGCCTTCCAGCTGCGTCGTTGAGCTATCATTAGGTAACGCGATGTTCAAAATTTCAAGGCTTTCGTTGCTACATGTACTATTACCAATGATCTTCTTTGTGTAGGCAACGTTCGTGTGAAAAATAATTCTCTCATCTCGTGATGCCGGTGAAATCTCGAACCTGGAATTATTATACGAACATGGCGTCGCGGACAAAATAAAATAGACACGATAGTCGTAAAATAAGGTCATAAACTAAGCCATAAAAAGCGCTTGACTGAGATCTCGTGAACTCGTATTCTTTTTAATGTAATGCAAAACGTAATATATTGCATTTCGATTAATTTATGAACAAAATTGGTATTGAATCTTTCCTATGAAATAAGGAAATTATCGAAAATCCAATTTCTAGTGAATCGTTTTCATTGAAAATTATGGAGCTAATGGACTACAAATAACTGTGCAGACAATGAATTAAGCGTATTTGGAATAAATGACGTATTATTCCGATATCTGTTAGTGATTAGATATAATCAAAGTCTCACTAATAGAATTACATTCTTCTATGTATTAAGCATACAGGCTGAATAGAGCGCCGCATACGCGTGGTATCCGTTTATAGAGTTAAAATATTCGAAGTAGACTTGATTTATTTACGGTGAAAAATTACGACAATGTGTTTCTCTTCAAGTGTGGCAAATGTTTTTACAAAATTTCTCCTCATCTATTAATCATTTTCTCGATAATCCAACTCCAACAGTCGTCAATCGACGATATTTATTTTGCTCGATTTCGTTTCTTCGTTTTCTTTCTTCGAGCAAAGCTATCGCTACTACCGATATCAATTGGCGATACAATAATTCCTCGACGTAAAAAGAAACGCGTTCTAGGTGGAGGAGCGATTGATTGGAAGTGGTTGCCTTTAAATCGATTGGCCCGGTGGTAACGCGTAATCTGAAGTCGCTGCTCGTCCCATTCCGGAAAAAGGAATTCGACCGGAGAGTCGAGGACACGGGGACCGAACCCGGGGATTCGTCTCCGTGTTCACCTTTTTCCCCCCGCATCTCGATAATAAATTTTCGAGTCGTCCGCTGCCGTCGTGGAACTCTGGAACGATGTTATGGACGATGCTCGAGAACAAGAAGGGTGGTTACACACAGGCTACGCTGGCAACCCTCTGCACATACTAACGTGGATTTATCG